TTTGATTGCCTTTTTTATCTGCCCTCTCTCTATCTTGAACTCTAGATGCACCCTAACTTTCCAAACATGGCTTATATATCTTGCATTCGACTTTTGGTCAGCAAAAGAAGGTTGGCAAATCATAGGAACCCCTTCATATAAACTCCCTAGGGTTGAATTCCAACCACAATGTGTCTAAAATCCCCCTGTTGAAGGGTGGGCTAGCACTTCTTGTTACGGAGCACATTTCACTATGTTTCCTCTTCCACTTAGCATCCCCAGGAACCCATTTGGCAATAGTTCAAGCCACTCTAAGCCATGGACTAACCCTAGTCGAACCACCCACAAGAAAGGCTGCTTGTCGTTGGCCAACCCCCAAGCTACCTCTAAGAAATCAACCTCGTTCATGGCTGCTATACTTCCAAAGCTAACGTAGATCACAGAGTTGGGTGCTTGTTTGTCTAGCCATGATATTCAGCTCTGGTCTTGAGGTAGTAAGCTACTGTAGAAAGACAATGGAAAGGACTTGTGGAAAGGACTTGTGGAAAGGACCTATTGCAAAAGTTGGGATAGGAAAGTCTAGGGAACATTTTGTTAGAGCTTCTTGTTCAAGGTCTTCATTGGAGTTAAATATAAAGTCCTGAAGAGGCCTTAACTTCTTCAATTATGATAGACAAGAATTAAAGTAAGCTTTCTAGATGGCTTGTTTCAATCCTATGAATGTCTTTGAATTTGAGTGGTAAAAGCTCTCGGACATGGTTTTTTGTTCGAGAGTCTGAGAAGAAAAGATTCAGCATTTCAGTAATTTGTATTTCATAAAACAAAAGATGAACTTAAAGCTTGTTTTATAGTGCCATAAGGAGTAAACTATTTCAGTAAACAAATAAATACAATCATAAGAAATTGAGTGTTGTGACTTCTCAATTTGTCATCAAGTTTCTTTCGTAAAATCTAAATCCTATCAATGCAACATTGTAGAAATTATCTCAGAAAAGTTATCTTGACACTGATTTAATAGGGTCTAATCTTGATGAAAAGTGCAATTAGACAACAAGATAAAACAGAGTTACATGATATATTCTCCATCAGAAGATACAAATTTGCATGTCTGAACTTTTGGTTATTACAGATCCTGGTATGACTCATTTGAAAGTAAAGAGTCAAGACAAACTGAACTTAAAAATAATACCTGAAAACTAATTAATCTTATCAGATCAATGAGATGAGTGATCTGTACCTTGCACTAAGAGGTAGCCCCTTTTGTGTAGAGATGGCATGGACTTGTAAACAAGGAAGGAAAAGACATTGTCGGTCTTTAACACAATCCTTGGAAGTTTATGGCCATCGGCAATAGGTTGAGTAAAGTACCATAAAGTATCAGTAACTAAACAAACAATGGGATCCTCCACGTTGGTAGATAGCAACTTAGACAAGCAATCCATGAAAGGGTTTACACAATTTGAGTTGAGGATTTTGATGAAGGCCATAACACCATAAACATATGATGAAATGACTTGGTTTTCCAACAATCCATCAGTTGTTGAACAAAACCTGATATGAGGGTTTGAGAGGTTTGGAAAGTTGAACTGAGTGTGGATTATGGTAGTGGAAAAGCCTCTAGCATGGAGGATGTTGGCAAGCTGAAACATAGGATTTAGGTGGCCTTGAAATGGCAGTGGGAAGAGTATGACTCCCCCTTCCATTCCTATTCTACATTTAAATGACTTCATGATTCTCCATCAACTTATTAAAAAGGGGATGAAAAAAGAAACTAGGGAGAAAGAAAGATGAGAAAGGAAAGGCATCTTGGAAAAGATTGACCCGTTAGCAATACAATGGAAAATATTACTATCTGTTTTGTTATTTTCAATTAGCTATTGTCTCTATATGTCTTCATAGACAATTAAACTTTTTGTAAGGTTGTAGGTAAGAAAGGAAATCAATACTTACCTCAATGATGGAAACGTGACTTTATATCACAAAGCTTCAAATAACTAAAAGGAAAAATTTTATGAGACTGATCCTCATACGACATCCAGTGATTCTAATACTCGATCTTAAATTACGTTGTGGGTTCCCCACCTTTTGGTGCGTTGGCACTATTTGACTTTGCTGATGTATTGTGATGCAGTATTTCTTTGTATTCTGATTTACTACTAGACTTCTATCAAGTGTCTATTACTGTTACTTGAATGGATGGATATTTGGTTTATCCTTCCACTGTACTCCCATAATTTTAATCAACGAAAAACCACTTATGGCTCAGGAAAAAAAATATCTTGCATTTACCCTTTGGTCAACAAACAAGGTTGACAAATCATTGGGACAGCTTCACAAACGCTCTCTAATTTCGAATTCCATCCATTGTGAGTCTAAAACCCTCCTACAACAAGGTGAGCTAGCACTTGTTGGGGTGCCCATTTTACAATATGTCTGCTTCCACTTATCTCTTCTAGGAACTCAGTCGGTAAAGTTTCAAGCCATTTTAAGCTACAGATTGAACCTGGTCTAACAGCCAGCAGGAAGTGCTGCTGATTGTTAACTTGTGATACCCAACATCCCACATCTGATGTGAATATAATTGTTAAAACCTATATAACAATCCAAGTCTACTACTACTAGCAACTTGAGCTTAAGCTTTTGAGGGCCACGTGGTTTAGGCCCAAAGAGTTGCTGGGCCAATGGTTGGACTTGGGTCGTTACAAATAGTATCAAAGCCTACATCAATCTGATGTGAGCTTTCACCATCAAGGATTTGAGTAGTTGAGATTGTGATACCGAACATCCCATATCTTATGTGAATGTGATTGTTAAGACCTATATAACAATTCAAGTCTACTACTACTAACAACTT